TGTGGCCTAAATGTCTTAGAAACCAAAATCACATATGGGTTTGGTAGTCACAGTAGAATGTGAAGCACATAAACAAGGCCTTTAGAGGGTATAAACACATTGACTAAGAAGCTATAGTTGCAGTCCTCATCAGTCATTGACAATATCATACTGAGTGTCCGCAGGAAAAACTTTGTTATCAAATGAAAAGCATGGAATCATATGATCTCAGACAGAACTCTGAACACTAATCCTAAAATTAATACCTACTATTTGTTTTCCTTCAAGAAACATAAAATAAGGCAGTATAGCATTTGTAGCATGTACATATTTCCCTCACATCACCAAAAGGTGGTGGACATGAGTGTAAAATACTTCTAGAATTCTTGCTATAAATATATTGGCCTATCAAGAGATGTGAGGAGATTTGACTCAGGAGAATGAAATAGACTTATATTCAAAACTCCTTCAAGCATATGAGCTAATCAGAGACTATAACAAGATGAAGACAGAAATACATCCCTTACTGCACTCAAAAACCACTAATAGTGATTCACTGCAAATATGGTGGAACTAATTTATCATTTTCATTTTAATTGGGAGGAAAATGTGCTTTAAATTGATCAGTATTATGGAGCTGTGGTTAAATTTTTTGTTGACTTTCTCATAGTGAAAGTACAATAACATATAACTATTTTTATATCCTCCTCTTTACTCCATCTTTCTTCCCCCTTTCTTATTTTTCTTTCTCAGATTCTTTCTCCTTCTTTCCTTCCTTCTCTCCTTTTGCCCTTCTTCTCTTTATCTCTCCCTCTTTCTGTCCTATTATTTTCTTAATTGTTTTTCAAGTACAGTTGTCTCTATTTTCCCCTCTCCACTTCCCACTGCTCCATCCATCCCCACCTCCCACGCAGAGTCCTACCCCCTTCAGGTTTGTCCATGTGTCCTTTCGCACACATTCCTTGAGGACCCTTCTCCTGTTTTCCCCACTATTTCTCTCCTCCCTCCCCTCTGGTTACCATCAGTCTGTTCTTTATTTCAATGTTTCTGGCTTATATTTGGCTTGCTTGTTTGTTTTGTCGATCAGATTCCGCTTGTCTTATTATTGTTTAATGTCCCCTTTCTATTTACATCTATAAGCCATAATTATTTTAGAAGAACTAAACCTAGTTTTACTTTAATAGCTTTATCAGTAAGTTAATGGTAAAATTTCCCCATTTTAACTTATGTGCTAATTGGGTCCACTTAACTCTTTTTTTCTTTTCTTTCGGGATACCCACTGAATTAATTTGTGAGACTTGGAAAAAGTAAAAATTTGGCTACTCTGAACATATTGGGATGTTAAATTCCTCATCTATATTTACATACCTTTCAGTCTGTTGGAAGATTGAATTGCAAACTCACCAAAATTTTACTGAAGATAGGCCTATTACAATGGAGTTTTTAATATCTCTTATGATATGACAAGTTATGATATTCCTTTAAAGAATACAACCTGATAACAGTGACATGCTATTACAAATTTTGATTTGCATCCCCAAACCATCTTATACAGCACAGAAGATCTTCTAAGAATTATTAGTTCATATGGACACAACATCAAGAATTTTAGCTGAAGTGTGACATGAATGAAGTAGCATCTTAAAAATTCCAGTGGGATTAAAGTTAGATAATGGATTGTAGACATAGAAAAGTACAACCACGCAGATCACTAAGGAGACTGCTTTAGTAATCCTGACAAGCATGGCTGAGGTCAGAAGGAAGGTATTTACCATTTTGGTAGAGAGATAAAGACACTTTCATGAGACACTCTGGGGTAGACTCAAAGGTCTACCCCAGACCTTTAAATAAAAGAAGTAAAGTATTCAAGTAAAGTAAATAAAAGAAGTTAAGTATTCAAGAAAGAGAAGGAATTAAGGTGGACTACTGGATTTCTAACTTGTGTTTTTATTTAAATATTGATGGTTTTTAATGAAATACGGAACAAGTTAGAGGGACAACTTCTGCAAGATGAATATGTTCTTTTTTATATTTATTTATTTCAAGAAATCAAAACAATATTTAGGTGGAAAGTTTTTGAAATCATTTGGAATATAGTCAGTCATATTTTAATAACTATGTACAGTGTCAGATGGGTACTACAATTATCGGGGTGATCATTTTGTAAGTTCTATAAATGTCTAATCACTCTGTTGTAAATCTGAAACTAATATATTGTATGCCAATGGTAACTGAAGAGTAACAAATATCATTTTTTAAAAATCATTTGGGTAATACAGGGTATCAGTCCCAGCAAACAACAAAAGAAATAGATCAACAGCATAAAGGAGACCACAGAGATCCAAACATTAGGTTAATTCTTTGCCAGCATAATGGCCAATTTGGGGAAGTAATAAAGACAACTGCATAACACATTCTAAGTCTTCAAAGAAATATGGAGTGTTAGGGATTTTTGAAGGAAACAGTAGTAAGAAGGAAAAGACAATAATAGATAAATATAGTAACAATATGTACTTAGCAATTAATAAGAACTGAAGAGAAACACTATCTTTTACTTGGGTTTCAGGAGTATAAACTAAGAATGTTGCAAGATGAAGTGCTCTCACAATAGCACTTGATTTCTGTTTATGGTAAAAATGTGTATTGAAGTTTGAAATTGTGTTCCAGATTTTGAATATAATTTTTATTCCAGTCAAGTTATACCTGCAACCCAACCTCTACTGAGAGATGCTATTATAACAACCCAATATTTATTAGACATAGAGTATGAGATATGATATTTTTCCTGGCTCTCTAGATAATCTCCTAGTCTGTAATATATTTATTCTTCTACTATCACTTTTCACACATGCACAGATACAAAAACACAATGAACCATAATTCTTACAAAGTCATCTCACATAAAGGGATGCAAGATGGAAAAAAATGTTCCCTTCTTCAAAATTCATCTATTAATATAAAAGTTCATGCAGTATGAGTGTCGATCATGAGTTACAGCTCTTCTGAGAAAATTTGGATAATGTAGGAGGTACAGATTGTTTACTGAGTGTGTTAATGTAAAAGGAATTATGCTGATGTATATTATTAGTGTAGACGGATAGATAGATGAGTAGATGGATGAATAATTACTTCATATCTTGCAACATAATCTGCCTAAATCTGAATATCCAAGGGGTGTATAAATACTTTCATGGAGTTATCCTACTAAATCAGTCACTCCAGAAAAAATCTGAAAGATCAGCAGTCTCCTATGTTTTTGGCATCAGAGACTGCTTTCATGGAAGACAATTTTTCCACAGACCGGGCAAAGGATGGTTTCAGGATTATTCAAGCTCATTACCTTTATTGTACACTTTATTTCTATTACTATTACATTGTAATATATAATGAAATAATTATACAAGTCACTGCATGCTAGGGTTATTTTGGGCTTACCAAAACTGTGACTGAGACAAGTGTGCAGCATGGAAAAAAAGGTGTGGATGAAAATAACGGGTGGGCCACGTGCAGACCAAAATAGGTGTTGGATTCTGACTTAAAGCCTGCCACCAGATGCATCTATACAAGTGAAATACATAAACACACTTGCCACTATACAGCTTACCGCCTGATGCACCTTGTCACCACCCACTAAAAGGGTTTTGATATGTATCTACAAACAATTGATTTATTATGGTCTCTGTGCAGTCAAACCTCCCTGCTAATGATAATCACCCCTCAGTTCTACCTCACATCACCAGGCATTAGATTCGCATAAGGAACAGCCACCTCGTTTGCACAGTTCACAGTTGGATTCATGTTCTTACGAAAATCTGTCACCACCACTGATCTGACAGGAGGCAGAGTTCAGGCAGTAATGGAAAGACCTGGAGTGGCTGACCCCATATATGAAGCTTCACTTGCTCACCAGCCACTCACCTCCTGCTGTGCAGCCCGGCTCCCAAGCATTGGGCGCTCCTGTAATACATCAAATTGATTCCTAAACCTGCCGCTAATCTTGTGTATATTTTATCTAATGCTGCTATCAGCTTTTTGGTCTTTCAGGCAGAAAATCATATTTCTTTACATCTTTGTACAAAAGCATGTGTCTTTCCTCTTATACATTGTTTTCAATCTCAGATCTAACCACTAATTGCAAATTTCTACTATATTCTTCACAATTATTATTTTCAGTCCATGTTTCAGGCTATGATGGTCCCATATTGAAGTTACCAAATACAGATTTTTAATCATTTTCCCTTCATTTTAGTTCTTGCCTTTATATGCCATTCTATGTATAGCACCAGAATTATTTGCAAAATAATAATAATAATCTTGTGATTGCCCTTTTTAAAATTTCAGTAAATAAGTTTTACCTTTAAATTAAAATCCAAACCATTCAGGACCACTTATTATCCCCTATTTCATTCTAAAACCTACTGCCACAACTTTCTCTGTGGTCCATACTCACCAGAGTGAATATGGACCAAATATCCAAATAGCCATGCATTTTTCTCATTCCTCTACTCAATTGAAATCTGTCCTTTTGCCATACTCTGCCTACCACGGCTTTCATCTCACCTTATATGTTATCTACTTCACTGAAGCTATTTCCACTTATTCCATAGAGGACTGTGTTTCTCCTCTGGAATTCTGAACACCCTGTACTAGCCATATTATTCTTATCAAAGTACTTTCCATGTGTATCAAAGCAAATTATTTGCTGTTTCACATAGGGAAAGATATGCGTACTATTTTCTCACTTAAACCACTTGGCACCTGCAAACAGAGTAGAATGAATGTTGGTGAGTGTGTTTGTGTATGTTTCTGTGTGTGAAATATTTTATTTTCCTTATTGATGATCTAGAAAATAAATTTGTCTTTACTTAATGTATTTAATTTTTAATTTCTGGAGGTTAAATAGTTTCTCCCAGGTATTTTTCATTTATGTTTTATTAGCACAGTAAATATTAACCTTGAACATAGTGCACGGACATTTTCCTTTTAAAGTTAATTTTTAACTTACTGTGTGTCTTACTTGCCATTTGGTCTCTGCACTCGGCAGAAATACCCTAAACCCTCTGCAGACCAGTGTGTGGTAGAACTGCTGTCATGTTACCTGAGAAGTGGGCATTGGCAGTTCTGCTGCTACAACTCTGGAGTGCCGGCTGTGGATTCTGTGGGAAGGTCCTCGTGTGGCCCTGTGACATGAGCCATTGGCTTAACATAAAGGTCATTCTGGAAGAACTCACAGAGAGAGGACATGAGGTAACAGTGTTGACTTTTCCACATACTAAGCTCATTGATTCCAGGAAACCTTCCACCCTGAACTTTGAGGTATTGCCTTCAGAAGTTCAGAAAGAATCAGTGGAGAATGTAAATGACAAATTTCTGGACCTAATTCTTAATGTCTTACCAAACTTAGAACCCTGGCAATCAACGATAAAATTGAATGATTTTTTTACTGAAACAACTGAAATTTTAAAAATCATGTGTGAGGGTGCAATCTATAATAAGACGTTCATGAAGAAGCTCCAGGAGACCCACTATGACTTGATGCTTATAGACCCTGTGATGCCCTGTGGAGAGCTGATTGCCGAATTACTCCAAGTCCCTTTCGTGCTCACATTGAGAGTATCTATAGGAGGCATGAAGGAGAAACACTGTGGGAAACTCCCAGCTCCACCTTCCTATGTTCCTGTTCAGATGGTGGCACTAACAGATCGGATGACCTTTCTGGAAAGAGTGAAAAACACAATGCTTTCAGTTTTCTTTGACTTCTGGATCCGGGATTACGACACTCATTTTTGGGACCAGTTTTATAGCAAGGCATTAGGTAATAGATTCTGCTTTTTATTTTAAAGTTATCAAAATAAATGCAAAAATCTAAGTAGATGAAAGGAGTGCATTTTAAAATATCTGTCCTCCAATTAAGATTCGACCAGTGACAATAATCAACTGGTTATCGTAAGAGGTAAGTGGAAATGGGAACAAGAAATCTTTTGCCATGTTTATTCTGTCATTATAATCATCATACCATTTCTCATAAGATTACTTGATACTTGTTAGGTTCCTGCCCAAAATAATATCAAATATACAAAAATGTTAATGCTCTAGGAGATGGAATATTTGTGCTATCCGGATATTACACATAAGTCCAGTACATTAAGTTTCCATGTAGAGGATGTTATAGCCACTCTTGGGAAAGAGAGGATAATGTTTATTCTGAGAGTAAGATAACATACTTGACTGATGCAGGTAATAAACTAAAATATCATTATTAATAAGCAAATTGTTTAATTCACCTGAATCTGCTCCCAAATTTTTTGATAATTACTGATAATTATCCTTATATTTATACCATTTTTACTGGAACAGGTGCCAACCATTATTATTCCTCTCACAAACTTTATTTTTTTAATGTTGTTCAAGTACAGTTGTTTCCATTTTCATCCCACCATACCCCATGCCCCATCCATCTCCGCCTCTCACCCTCGAACCCACCCCTTTTGGCTTTGTCCATGTGTCCTTTATACATGTTCTTTGATGGCCCTTTCCCTATTCTCCCCTTTATCCCTCTCCCCCCTCCTCTCTGGTTAGTCATTTTGTTCTTTATTTCAATGTCTCTGGTTGTATTTTGTTTGCTAGTTTACTTTGTTGATTAGCTTTCACTTACAGGTGAGATCATATGATATTTCTCTTTCACTGTCTAGCTTATTTCACTTAGTGTAATGCTGTCCAGTTCCATCCACACTGTCACAAAGAGTAGAAGCTCCTTCTTTCTTTCTGTTGCATAATATTACGTTTTGTAAATGTAGCACAGTTTTTTGAATTACTCATTTACTGATGGGCACCTCGGCTGCTTCCAGCACTTGGCTATTGTAAACTGTGCTGCTATGAACATTGGGGTGTATAGGTCCTTTTGAATTGTTATTTCAAGATCCTTAGGGTATAAACCCAGCAGTGGTATTGCTGGGTCAAAAGATAGTTCCACTCTTAGTTGTTTAAGGAAATTCCATACTGTTTTCCACAGTGGCTGCACCAGTCTGCATTCTCACCAACAGTATATTAGGGTTCCCCTTCCATAGCCTCACCAGCACTTGTTGTTTGTTGATTTGGTTATGATGGTCATTCTTACCGCTGTGAAATGCTATCTCACTGCAGTTTTAATTAGCAAATCTTACCGCTGTGAAATGCTATCTCACTGCAGTTTTAATTAGCAAATCTCTGATGGCTATTGGTGCTGAGCATCCTTTCATATGTCTCTGGGCCCTCTCTATGTCCTCCTTGGAGAAGTATCTGTTCAGGTCCTTTGCCCAAGTTTGTCTTCCTCGAGTGGAGTCATGTGAGTTCTTTATATATTTTGTCAAACTCTTGTCTGACATATCATTTGCAAAAATGTTTTCCAAAATGGGAGGCTCTCTTTCACTTTAATGCCGTTTTCATTAGCCTGGTAGAAGTTGGTTTTTTTTTGTTGTTTGTTTGTTTGTTTGATGAGCTCTCATTTGTTTATTCTTTCCTTTATGTCCTTTGCTCTAGGGGACATATTGGTAAAAATATAAAAATATTGCCGTGTGGGATATATGAGATTTTCCCGCCTATGTTCTCCTCTGGAATTTTTGTGGTGTCATGACTTATATTTAAGGCTTTTATCCACCTTGAATTTATTTTTGTGTATGATGTAAGTTGGTGATATAATTTTATTTTTTTGCATGTAGCTGACTAGATCTCCCAACACAGTTTGTTGAAGAAGCTATGTTTACTCCATTTTATGCTTCTTTCCCCTTTTGTCAAATATTAATTGACCATGGAGACTTGGGTTTCTTTCTTTATTCTGTTCCATTAGTCTGTTTGTTCTTATGCTACTACCATACTGTTTTGATTACAGTGGCCTTGTAATTAGTTTTATATCAGGTATTATGATCCCTCCTACTTTGTTCTTCTTTCTTAAAATTGCTGTAGCTATTCATGGTCATTTAGGGCTCAATATAAGTTGTAAAATGTTTGTTCTATATGTGTGAAATATGTCATTGGTATTTCAATATAGATGGCAATGACTATAAATTTCTTTTGGTAGTATGAACATTTTGATGGTGTTAATTCTTCCAATCCATGAATATTGTATATGCTTCCATTTATTTGTGTCTTCCTTAACTTCTTTCTTCAGCGTTGTATAGTTTTTTGCATATAGATCTTTCACGTTTTGGGTAAGGTTTATTCCTAGATATTTTATTTTTCTTGTTGGTATAGAAAATGTTTTGATTTCTGATTCTGACCTTTCATTGTTGGTGTATAAAAATGCCTTTGATTTCTTAATATTGACTTCGAACCCTGCTGTTTTCCCAAATTCACTTATTAGGTTGAGTAGCTTTTTTGGTGGAGTGTATAGGGTTTTCTATATAACACGATCATATCATCTGAAAACAGTAATAGTTTTACTTTTTCCTTTCCAATTTGGTTGCCTTTTATTTTTCTTTCATGTCTGATCATTGTGGCTAGGACTTCCAGTACCATGTTGAATAGAAGTGGTGAAAGTGGACAGCCTTGTCTTGTGTCTGATCTTAGTGGGAAAGCTTTTAGTTTTTGCACATTGAGCATGATGTTAGCTGTAGGTTTCTCATATATGGCCTTTATTATGTTAAGGTATGCTCCCTCTACTCCCACTTTGCTAAGTGCTTTTATCATAAATGGGTGCTATACCTTATCAAAAGCTTTTCCCAAATCTATTAATATGATCATATGATTTTTGTCTTTCCTTTTGTTTATGTGATGTATTACATTTATTGATTTGTGGATATTGTACCATCCTTGCATCCCTGGGATGAATTCCACTTGATCAAACCATATGATCTTTTTAATGTATTTCCGGATGTGGTTTGCCAATATTTTGTTGAGGATTTTAGTGTCTGTGTTCATCAGCAATATTGGCCTATAGTTTTCTTTCTTTGTTGTATCTTTATGTGGTTTTGGGATTAGAATGATGCTGGCTTCATAAAGAGTTTGGCAGTCTTCCCTCTTCTTGACTTTTTGGAATGATCTAAGAATAGGGTTAGCTTTTTCTCAAGTGTTTTGTAAAATTCTCCTATGAAGTCACCCTGTCCAGGACTCTTGTGTGCTGGGAGTTTTTTGATTACTACTTTGATTTCACCAGCTGTTTTGCCTTAAAGCCTTCTGCTTCTTCATTCAGTTTTGCAAGATTATATTTTTCTAGAAATTTGTCCATTTCACCTAGGTTTTCAAATTTCTTGGCATATATTTCTTCATAGTAATTTCTTACAATTCTTTGTATCTCTGTATATCAGTTGTAATATTTCCTCTTTCATTTTTTATTGTGTTTATTTGGGTCCTCTCTTTTTCTTGATGAGTCTGCTTAAAAGCTGTTGTTGTTCCTCCAGTTTTTGTAAACATATGGTTAGGTTGTTGATTTGAAATGTTTCTATCTGTTTTTTGTAAGCCTGTATTGCCATGAACTTCCCTCTCAAGACTGCCTTTGCTGTGTCCCATAAGTTTTAGACTGTTTCATGTTCATTTTCATTTGTTTCCAGAAACTTTTTTATTTCTTCCTTAATCTCATTCATTAACCCATTCATTGTTTAATAGCATGCTATTCAATCTCCATGAATTTGAGTGTTCTTGAGTTTATTCCTTTAGGTTGGTTCCTAGTTACAGTCCCTTGTGGTCCAAGAAAATTCTTGATGTCATTTCAATTTTCTTGAATTTGTTGAGGTTGGTTTTGTGTCCTATTATGTGGTCTACCTTTGAAAACATTCCATATGCATTTGAAAAGAGTGTGTACTGTGCTTCTTCAGGATGGAAGTTTGTGTGTGTGTGTGTGTGTGTGCATATGTGTGTATATATATATGTGTGTGTGTGTGTGTGTGTGTGTATATATTCATTTGATCTATTTTTCAATGCCACAATATCCTTGTTGATATTTTGTTTGAAAGATCTATTCATTGTTTACAGTGGGGTATCAAAATCCCCTAGTATAAGCGTGTTGCTGTCTATATCTTTCTTGAAGTCCTCCAAGATTTTCCTTATATATTTGGGTGCTCCTATGTTGGGTGTATATATTTACAATGTTTATGTTTTCTTGGTGGATTCTTCCCTTGAGTATTATGAAGTGTCCTCCAGTGTCTCTTTTTATGGCTTTTGTTTTGAAGTCTACTTTGCCCAATATAAGTATTGGCACTCCAGTTTTTTTTTTCTGTCCATTTACTTGGAATTTTTCCAAGCCTTCACTTTTAGTCCATGTAGGGATTTTGCTCTGAAGTGTGTCTCTTGTAGGCAGCATATGTGAGGGTCATGTTTTCTCATCCATTCAGCTACCCTATGTCTTTTGATTGGAGCATTTTTCATTAACATTTAAGGTTATTATTGATAGGTATTTATTCATTTTTCTCCCTTTACCTGTGTTCCTCTCTCTCTCTCACTCTTTTCCTTCTTCTTTGTATAGCAGTCCCTTTAACATATCTTGCATTGCTGGTTTGGTGGAGGTGTATTCTTTCAGCTTTATTTTATCTGGGAAACTCCTTATGTCACCTTCCATTTTAATTGAGAGCCTTGCTGGGCAGAGCAATCTTGGTTGCAGGCATTTGCTTTCATTACTTGAAATATTTTTTGCCATTGTCTCCTGTCCTGGAGTGTGTCTGCTGAGAAATCATTCGCTAGCTTTATCAGAGCTCCCTTGTATGCTACTTCTGGTTTCTCCTTTGCTGTTTTTAAGATTCTCTCTTTGTCTTTAAAACTTGGCATTTTAATTATGATGTTTCTTAGAGTAGGTCTTTGAGTTCATCTTGACTGAGAACCTCTGTGCTTTGCATGGATTTCCCCTCT